AACAATTCTTCTACAAAAGTATCTCAGACCAGTTGATGTTGTTCTGATCTTAACGACATCCTTGGCTTTGTTTGGTTTGGGACCCATCGTAGAAGCTTCCACACTCGGACCGTTCCAGGAGGATTTTGGCAACATGACTAGGAATTTTCAGGCCAAACATAACACCTCGAGGTTCCTTGTGACGTACGCTGCAGAGGTCATCAACTGTCAGCGCGTATTTTCGTTTATGTATGGTGTGGGATCGAAAGTGGCCTACTGTTTCATGATTATGGTGCCGTACATGATTGGTCTACTGTTAACCAGAATGATCAAAGCCTTCACTGCGGAAAGGTCACGGGATAAAGCATCTTTTCGCAATCTACTTCGAGATCACTTGTACTTGGGCCAGTTAATCCGCGAATGCGATAGTCAGTTTGCATGGATAAACGTTGTGGCTTTCGTCGAACATATGGTGAGGATCATCGTGCGCTGTCAAAAACTTTTGGATGATATCAAACTTAACACAGCTACGTTTGGTGAAAACGAGATTTCTATGATTTCCCGGGTGATTTTGCTGGCTTGTCTTATTCTTACCCTTCTGTATCAAAGCGAAGAGGTAAAAATTCAAAGTTTCAAACATAAACTTCTTTTTGAGTCTCTACAAAGTTATAATAATTTTGTGATTTAGGAAACTCTGGTGCAGAAAAAACTGCATCACATGGTGGCTTTCGAAGAAACCCCCGAAGACATTGCGGTCGACATCAATGACCATCTGCGACAAATGCGAGTAATCAATCCCAATATTACCCTGGGAGGAATCGTGCTCATTCGGGAAGCGGCAATTGGGGTAAGCGACATGCGTTTTGCTGGTGAATTGAATGCTTATCTTGTTATAGCTTCCGCAGCGTACAACTTTGACTAAATCGTTTTCAAAAATCGTTGTAGTTCAAAGATCAAAGAGTCATAGTGATCGCTGCTCTTCATCTTGAAAAATGTGAAAATGACCTGTTAGCAAATTGAATCGATCGCTACATTTTTTCGCAGATGGTATGCACGATATTCGGCTACATTTTGATCCTGGCGGAGCTCACTGACGAAGCCCCAGTGAACCAAACCTCTATCACAGGGTAAACTCAGACCTGATAATAAATACCAAACGATTGTTATTTTTGAGCGCTATCTTGACGCCCGGGCACCCGCATCTCATTCGATTTGAATTTGCAGTGATCTTAAATTTATAGTGCCGCAAATTCACTTTAACTTGATAAGAACTTAGCCTAATCGACCGCTTATACCTAATCAAACTAGTTTATTAACAATTACGCAGTTTTATTATTATCACCTTCTTTTACCTATAATAAAATTGATTTTATTTCGGCAAACATACGCGCATTAAGAATATCTAAGCTGTACACTCTGCAGATACGGTAACGAGAATTTGCGCTTAAGCGCTTTCTATCAAACATTTCCTGATTAAGTAGTACGGCATCTTTATTCGATGGCCCGAAAAGGATTAAAAATGTATCTCTCTCTGCAACACCTTGTGTTCAGCCATTATCACATTTGCTCATGCTTAATCGTTATTGATCAGAACAAAATAACTACAGTAGAAAAAGGTCACCGGTTGTTTAGCCTGTCACAGGAGAGGAACATCTGCGTTTAAATAAATAACCTGGACGGTGATGATTAAAAACAGAAACATTAGATGCATCATTTAGTTAACCTATCAACTACTGCTCTTTACTCTGCACACTCTAATATTCTCTTCTATACACTATGACTCTCCTCTTGTAGCAGGTGAGCCTGGTAAAATTCTACCCGGGTGAGTGTGCTGGTTTCGTTAATGTTGTCTGGCAGTCAGTCTTCAGTATACAAGCTTCTGGGTGTTGTGCGATATATAAACCTTATTTCGTACATTTTCATTCGTTGTTTGACCTTTGCAAGTTCTGTGCACAACTCCTGTGCACAAAATCTGTGAGACCAGTCACCATTTGTCTCTTTACGCAGTTCTTGGTCTTAATAACCGTGAAACATGAAAGCAGAAACAATTCAAAAGGCACTGCACATCCATGCCATGGTTTGGCTGTACGCCTTCCAGCTGTTTGGTTACTTCTGCTATCCGGCATCGGCGGCAACCAAATCAGCGATTCTGCGCTGGGTTTTACGATGCGTCATGATGTTGTACATCCTGGCAATGTTCGCCGTGTCCTGTGTCCCGGTCTTGAACACTCCGCTGCCACAAGGCAGTACTTCGCGTTTGCTGCTGGAAGCTCCCACTAGGGCTGCTCCTTTCTTTCGTATCTTCTGCGCTGCATACATCTGGTATCTTAACGGCGCCGTTCCACAAACAGCAAAGTCCCTAATCAACAGCGCAAAACAATACTTGAAGCCCTTTGATGTAACTGTGATTTTGATCACATCGATTTTCCTCTGTGCAAACGGACCAGTAATGGAAGCCGCCATTCTAGGACCTCTACACGGAAAACTTGATGACCTTACCCAACATTTTGCAGCAGTGCACAACGAATCTCGGATCTTAGGATCATACGCCAAGGAAATCTTTTTATGCGACCATGTTCTGTACTTCGTTGCCGGCGTTGGATCGAAACTGATGCTATGCTACATAATCATCCAGCCTGTCATAATCGGATTGCAGTGGTCTCGAATGGCGGAACGGTTTGAAGACGCTGACAACCACAAGATCGGCTTTCAGAAACTGGTGCAAGACCATCTGGAAATCAGCCAGCTATCCCGGGAATACAACAGCCAATTTGCCTGGATCAATGTGGTGGTGTTTGTCGATCATGTGGTGCGAATAATTGTACGTTGTCAGAAGTTAATGGATGACATTCGGTTGGGTGCTGTGCATATTGGGGATAACGAGATATCTCTGTTGTCGCGGCTGATCTTTCTGCTGGGACTTATGCTGGCGCTTTTATATCAAAACGAAAAAGTAAGATGACTAAGATCCAAAATTAGACATTTTCTTAACGGAATATTAACATCGTGGCGCCTGTGCTTAAGCTGTACGACAAACAGTTATGTGTGTGAACTATGCCTTTTTGTTTAAGGGAAACCATCTGCAGAAAAGACTACAATACATGGTGACCTTTGGAAAGATGTCGGATTTTACGGTTACTGAACTGAAAATTCACTTGGAACAAATTGATGTGATAAAATCCGGAATTACCTTGGGCGGGATCATTCTAGTGCGGGAATCGGCGATTGAGGTGAGTAAACTGATCTATGACTAACTTGCAGAGCAGTTAATCTAGGAATACTCATAATCATGCTGATTCATGACCGGCATTTGGGTTTTTTGATAGGTTGTCTGCACAATGTTTGGGTATGTTTTGATTCTGGCAGAACTGAGCGACGAAGCACCGGCAAACCAAACCTCTAGTGCTGTAACTGGGGCAGCAATGTGATGGTATTCGTTGGGACTTAATCCAGTTATCCATTTTATTCAACAGTACAGTTACGTTTTTCGATGTTACAGAATAATAAAAAGGAAAACAGGTTTTGGTGACACGATGAACTTTGCAAAAATTATGGTTATGGCGGTGTAAACAGTTTTCGATTCCTAAAGCAGCAGCTTTCGATTAATGCTGTGCAGGTTGTTTGGGATAGTTCGTTACGCTTCGATGTGTCCTCCGAACACCAAGAAATTAAAGAATCGTATTCCACTTATTAGTCTGACGCACGATTAAGACTAGAAGATTCATGTCTTTGTGAAAGGAAATCGCAAATTCCTTTTTATTGCGGGATGTTTTCTACACGAAGAAGTATTTTTAGACAAGACAACGCTTTATTCTCAGATCAGTTTCAATTCTTGGTATACATGTTCCACTTTGTACAATCGTAATAACATCCAAATGTTAATTTTCATATATTAAAACAGATCCCTGTATGCTGAATCGATGATCGTTGCTAATGTACTGTACCTGTTGCTGCTGATGCACTCTACCTGTCGCTATTTAAATGCCAGCTTGTTTCAGTTATTAAATATTATCCATATATGGATAATCTGTTCAATTTTTGAAAAGTTTGCACCGCTTTCTGGTTGCATTTTATGCAACCAGAAAGCAACTTTTGAAAGCGGTGCAAACATTTGAACGGCGAAAAAGGTAATTACCTATGTCGCATACGCAGGTTCACATACCGTAGTTACGTCGTAATCAACAGGATCTTCCCGCGCTTGCTATCCCGGATTCTGCTGCTGGGATTAAACCGTTAAGTTTCGTGCTACCGGGTTGTAATAAATGATAAGTATAGATAGTTATGCGAGGGAGCATGCAGAGTGGCACTGAGGGAGAAAAAGCAGGACACTTGAACGGTCTTCATTTTCCGTCCGTATCTGATAGCGTCAGGATCTTCCGTACTCCTACACAATGCTAACACAGCAACACAATACCTTGAAGCGTCATTTATTGTGTGTTGTCAGCAACAAAATTAATTCCAACTTGAATTGAATGAGATACACAGGTCGTGGCATACTCGGTCAGATCTGACACAAAACTGTTCTTGTTATGTGAACTGGTGTACAATTTTCACATGTTTATGGACTTTCTTTGTGACGACCATTTTTACCGTATCACAATGATCAGATTAATATTGATTTCTGCAAAAAACCATCGTTTGGAATGGCCAACAATGAAATGCAATATCATAACCAACCTCGTCCTTTGGAATGGAATATAATGTGTACACATATCTGTAAGTTGTGCCGAGAAGGGATTCGATAATACCCGTTAAATCATTTTGATGCCGTACATGTAGTGCAGCTCAACTCAGGATATTGACTGTAATTTCATTACCAATCGATACTACATGTGCCATCTTTTACATCAACCTAAGGAATATAGACTAAAACTCGGGAGGAGCATTTGTCTCAACCTCTGGGAGTATCTGGATCTCATCTAGCAATCAGTATGTAATACCGGAAACTTGGAATAACGCCTAGAGTACTCGCACACTTCTCTTGGCACAATTGGAAGATCTCTTGCTGTTAATCTGCAGAAGCAGGTTCTCAAAAATGATGATGACAAGATGATCGAGTAAACAATACTATGCGTTAAAAAATACGTAGCTCATGACTGTCCGGAATGGTAGAAACTGTGTTATTTATGGTTTGGCTGTTGTGGATCTTTCAACCTCCTACCATACACAGCATGAACATAACCGTTGTAACCGTGGCATTCACCGACAGTCCGACGTACGGCTATAACGCCATGATGCCGACATACGACGCGATATTTTCCTTTATTGCGCGGAAGTATCCATTAGTGCACTCGAAGATAAAGCGTATGCCACCGTTGAATTTGGCACAATACATGCCGGCTGATGGATACTCGTATTCTTGTACATTTGCTTATGAAGTGGCTATGCAATATATTGGAGCGTATTATCAAAAGCATCCAGAAATTTTCCAGCCGAATTCTACGGAAGTCTTTCCATTTATATTGACCGCAGGTAATGTTCAGTGTAATTCTTTAAATGAAAGTGCGGTTGCAGTCTTTTATTTTCAGACTGGTGCGATGACGCTCAAACTGAACTAGCAAGATTTGCTACAGGTAAAACACCGATCCACCTTCGCAAACCAGAGCTCGACGCAGGTTTTCCAACAAAATTATATTTTTTGTCACAACAACAATGCTGAATTAGCATGTAAATACTCGTACGTGAATGGACCAAGGTTTTGCTACCCAAATCACACATTTTCTTACATGTTTTACAGCGGCAAATGTCTTTCTGTTGACCCTAAATCCAGCCAACGGAATTTTCTCCCAGTTTCCAAATTTTCCCGTCATGACGGAACTGGGTCCATTGCCCGGTGCCAAGATGGTGGCCGGGGTCACGGCGGTTTTACTGAAATACGGGTGGACCAAGAATCTGGGGTTTTGGTGTCCCACGAACGGCATGGCATGGCCCTTTATTTTCTGTGATATATTCATCAAAAGCGATTTATACAATAAGATCGGCGCCGAGCAGTTCTACATTGTCGATCCCGAGATTAAGGAATTTTCCCGTGCCCAATATCGAAAAATACTGAACGATATGCGATATCGAACACGAGGTACGGGACTTTTTTTCTGTGAGAGCTTCGACAGGCATCAGATGTTTATTGATGTATATTAATTTTTGCAGTCATTCTGGTGTTCCTCTTCCACCGACTGTTGCGTGAATTCATGGTACAGTAAATAAATTGATCAATATGTGCTGAACGTATGTCTGATGGCTTATGTTTTCTTCAGATTACCGCTCACGAGATGAATATGACCAACGGCGATTACGTAAAGAACAGTTCCTAATTTTCCAAAGGCACTTTTTAATGACAATTAATACTTTGAATCTTTTTCGCAGGTTTTTCTGACCTTAGCTTTCCAGTTGAGTCCAGATAGTCCGTATCCATTCACCTGGAAGGCCAACGATAAAGATGACGGGGTGAACACATTTTCCTATTTTTAACAGCAGTCGATCATTTATACATCAGAGGTGAATTACCAATGTGTAACAACCGCACGTACTCCACGTTGCAGAAAGCCTTTCAAGCCTATCAGTCCCTAATTGCCTCGTCAGATTCCCTGGTTAACTGGAATGCCATGAAAGACTTCGTCAGCGAAAGAGCAAGAATATCAGCTGATGTGTACAATATCACGTTGCCTCCGGAAAGAATGGTATAGTTCTGCTAATCAGCGTGATTTGTGTGGCGTGTTGACACTTACTGGTTGCGGTAATTTCTAGTACAACCAAGCTACGGCGCTCATGTATGACCTTCTCACTAGCTTTGCTGAGGTAAGATTATAATCTCACAAACTGACAGCTGAAAACGCATAGCTAATTCCAGCATTTAGCTGAACTAGGTACATTAGTTTTATTTTGTGTAATCCCCCTCCCTATAAATGTATGGTACAGTAAGATACAGTAATACTGCCTTCTGTTTATCAAACTTTACTGCTTTTTAAGGGTGTCAACAGATCCTTAGGAAATGACGATTACTTTCAACCTCGAACCTTTGCGAAACGCCTTAAGGAACAGATGTACAGTCGAGAAACAAGTTCCACAAAGTTGGACAAGAATGGTGGAGCAGCGTTCCGTGTGCCGATTCTTCGACTGAATACGGAAAGCGGAGAAATCGAAGTACAGTACTAATTATATAACATTAATTAATATTCGAATTCTAAACCAATGCGGTGTTTAACGGGTCCTCGTTATTTTATATAGCAAGCCGGGTTACTAGACACAGAAAGTGAGATCTTAATAATGCAGAATAATAAAGCATGGACATGGCACAACCAGACAGTTTTTCCTACTAATGAGCCGATTTGTGGATACGACGGTCAAAGTTGTCCGAATAATTCAGGTGGAACATTAGCCGCTCCGGACGTAAATTCGGCTAATTCTTACTAACGATTGAATGAATTTGTTTTTAAGGAAATTTCACCTTGATCGTACTGTGCATCGTATTGATCTGCATATTCGTCATCGCGATAGGTGCTGCATGGTTTTACCGGTACAAGTGTAAACATTGTACTATTTGCACAACGCTGCATAAGCTAACTCACAAATGTAAAATAATTTCCAGGCGAAAAGCCAATCATCTCGCAATTGCCCATATGTTTCTAAATTCATCTTCCTTTACCTTTGAATCACCTGACAACGGTATCAAGAAATGCCCCAGTGACGGGAAGCAAATCGTCTCCTGCTTGCATGCAACACTGCAACTGGAAAGTCAGCCAGTGTATCTTGTGCGTCTGCCCGGCAGCGCTTCCATGAAAATGTGGTCAATAAACAGCGCATTTACCAATAGTCTCTTGGCGGTGCGTACTGACACAGCGCTATCAAGTTTTTGCTTAATTGATTACCTGCAAAAGCGGTTTGTATAGATGCATCGATTGGCCAATGAAAATATCGGTCGATTCTATGGCATAATCCTGGATGATATAAGCGCGTCGTCTTACCTGATGTGCGAATTCACACAGCGTGGAAGTTTATATGATGTCGTGACGCAGAAAAATATCCTCAGTGATATGCCCATTCGTATATCGTTTCTGCACGACTTAATCAAAGTGAGTCGAATTTTTGCAGTGCAGTAGCTGCAGCAACCATTTTTTGTGTTTTTGCAGGGATTGAATTACATCCACAATTCCCCACTACATTGCCACGGCAGCCTTTCAGCACAAGTTTGTTTCATCAACAGTCGATTTACCCTGAAAGTCTCCCATGCCGGCTACCAAAAGATATTCAGTCTGATGTCCAATGATACAAATGTATCAGCGGGATCACGAGCCGTTGACATTGTCAGCTTTGGGAAGATTTGCAATGACGTTTTAAGTGATGCAGGTAATGTTGACCTTGTACTTCCTTAAACATTGTACAGAGTACGTTAATCTATAGACTCGGCAGCGATGGCCAAACAATCGAAGCTGAGTGCGCTTATTGATGACTGCCTGAGTCTGTATCCGGCACAACGACCCAACTGTCAGAAAATCCTGCGCATCTTCCGCACTCTCCCATCCGTCCCTCGCAATGTGGTTTCGCATACGTTGTCACTGCTGGATCGGCAGACTGTTGAGTTAGAGGAGTCAGTGCGCATTAAGACGGCTGATTTGCTGGAAGAGATGCGGAAAACGGATATTTTACTATCGGAAATACTTCCCAAGTATTATAACTCATAATACATTTTGCGGAACCATTCTGTGTTATCTGTAGCACGGGCTGTCGGTTTGTATCACCTGTTATTGTTTCTTGCAGAACGATTATACAACGTCTGCGCAATAAGGAGCAGATTGCTGCCGAGGCGTTCGATAGTGTATCCATCCTGTTTAGTGATATACCGGAATTTGCCGAGCTGCTGCGCCGGTGTACACCGATCGAACTAATTAATCTTTTGAACGATGCACACTCCAAGTTCGATGGGGTTCTTATGGAGTTCGATGCCTACAAAGTTGAGACCGTTGGCGATTGCTATATGGTAAAATCTAGTGTTGTGCTACTAAATAAAATTAAATAACGGCCATTTACTTAGTAAAAGTCCGCCTAATATTAAAAGTGTAGTAAATAGTAAGGTTTTGGAAACAAAGTAAGTAAAAGTAAGTAAATGTGCTGCCGGAATAGTAAAAAGTAAGTAAATATTAAGGTTCAGCGTTGAATAAATAAAAATCATTTACTAAATTATTTACTAATTTGTTTTATGAGCGTTACGTAAAACTGGCGTGGCAGGAGCCGCCACTCGCAGGTAAAGTGAGAGTGCGCAGTAGTCGGCTGTGCCGCCCTAAAAGCAGCAATATTTACTGTTCAGTATGCACCTGTATAGCTCGATTAATGCATAAGAAATTTATCTGCACTATTTTCAGTAGTCTGTTGCGCTCTGAAACTAGGGCATTTCGAAACTGTCAATGCTAAATTATATTTATTTAGTAAATTTACTTTAATTTAGTAAGTAAATGTCCTTGGAAAAATTGAAATAGTAAGTAAAAGTAAGTAAAAGTCCCGAAAAATTTTGAATACTAAGTAAAAATAAGTAAACTTCCAAAAGCAGATAGTAAAAATAAGTATATTGGCAAGGACTTTTACTACCCAACACTAGACTAAAATCGTCTTCCTCGCGCTTACGCCGTACAGTAATTCAAGTTTCAAACGCCTTTATGCAGTTCTATCCCAAATTTATTTTGTGTTTTTTCATCAGATTTCCAGCGGTGTTCCTATACGAAATGACAAGCATGCCGCCGAATTGTGTTTTCTTGCCCATACATTGCTCAAAACGTCCCACTCTTTCCATGTTGCATCGGCTCAAGATGTTACACTAACCGCACGAATTGGTATCAATTCAGGTAATTTAACACTTCAGAAACTACATGCCGTAAAATCCGATATTGACGCCCTGGGCGTTTAATTTTTCGAAAGCTTCGAGAGGGGGCGTTTAAAACCGCAGGGGGCGTTTATTCCGGGGGCGCGTTTATTGTTTCATTTGAATAACGCGCTCATGAAATTTCATCGTTAAAGCCTAACGCTCAATATTAACAGGCATTTACAAGCTTCAGTGAATGTAAGCTAGTATCAGCAAAAACATGAGTATGCTTAAATTAGACCAGATTAATCAGATTCAGAATCAACTCCATCCTGGGTCAGAGGATCGTCCACTATTTCCTCATCGCTACTTTCATATTCTTCGTCCACGAGTTTTAGTTCTTCGAATTTTGAATTTTTTCGAAGCGGCATGGACGCTGTTTGACCTTGCAAACTTGACAACATCAGCTTTTACAGCAAAATCATACGATACGCGAGGCATTTTTAGATATGAAAACTTCTCAAAACACAATCTATTTGACTGTTTTGTAAAAATTCAGCAAAAAGAACTCTGTTAGAAAATGATATAGCAAATGTGTATGAGTGGAAGTTACCTAGACTATAAGGATGTACTATCGAAACTGCACGCGCAACCAGTTAACAAAGCGGATGCGCCAAAACTTATTAAACGCCCCGGGGCGGTAATTTCGGGGGGGGGGGGAGGGGGGCGTCAATATCGGCTTTTACGGTGACTAGAATTTGCGATTATTTTTCTTTCGAAGACGAAGTTGGTGACGACAGATGCTTACTGTTGTTTTTTAGGTCCAGTTGTAGCAGGAGTTATTGGAACAAAATCTCCACGCTACTGCTTGTAAGCAAGATATTAGTGCGCCATTGTGATCATGTATTGTACAGATTATTATACAGTATAGTCAATACTTGATAGTTAATACCGTCTTTTACAATCTTAATAGCAGCGTGCCTGGATTCAGTAGCTGTTGTTTTGCAGGTTTGGTGATACAGTCAACACAGCCAGTAGAATGGAGTCAACGGGAAGCGGTACATAACCATTTAATTTTATGAACCGACCATTGAGTCTACACGCCTGTATTTCATACCTGTTTGCTGATTTTTACAGCTGGAAGAGTACACATCAGCCCGAGCACTCACGATGAAGCAGCCAAAAATCCCTTTCTTCAGTTTGTGGCTCGTGGAAAAATCACTGTCAAAGTACAGTACAGCCTCGAACGCTGTGCAGTTTTTCAGCAGTAAATTAATTCCGTTTGGCTAATAAGCTTTAATGAAAATTAGTCTTTCTTCTATCAGTCTAATGGTAAGATATCGTAGAACTGGTAGAAATACAGGCACTTATTTCTGGTAAGAGACCTAATTGCTGTTAGAATTAATCGAATACTTCTCTCTTTATGTGGTATTTAAAGAAGTACCAGCCGCACTGCAGTTTTTAAAAAGGTATTATGGTATTATGTTTTTTATCTAGGGAAAAGGAAACGTCCACACCTACTGGCTAGAGAACATCCTCTACAGCCTAAAACTTGACCAGTAACAGCTTACAATTGGTAGTGCCGGCTGCTGATGTCAATTGCTTAATAAAGCGGTTTTTGGGCCAAACTGAATTATTATGTATATATAAATGCTGCTCAAACATGTTCGAACGTGTATTCTATTGCACATGAGTCTTAAATTTCTTGTTTTCAGTACAGTATCTGCTTGAACTTCATTATTTTCTGTTTTTGAACGGTTTAGCATCTTTGGTTTAAAGATGTTATTTATCTGCTTTTGAATGTGCTAAAATTGTTCGACTTGACAATACCTTCCGAAGCTTTTGCCCATTCGAAATTCCAGATCATAATCTATACTTTTATCCACAGCGACTGCGCATAACATATTCGCTACCACTTACAAGTAAATATGTAACTCGCTAATTGTAAAGCGTAGCTGTAAATTCTTCGACCTGAGCGCGTTGTTTTTTATTGCAATTCTGCACAGAGGGCGACAAGAACCCCGTTCGTGCAAACACAAATACATTGTGCTTTGTACCGCAGTGACTTTGTGCTCTATTTTAGTTTCATATTTTTCCGCGCAGTTGTGACAACTTCGATAAATTTTAAATAATACGGCACACACATCCATAATTATAAACTCGTAAGCAAACTAAGTCGGACCATCGCCCTATTCACGCGCGGCCCAAAATTCTTCGTTCAAACATTCGGACCTCCTCATTGGTAAAGGCAATAATAACTAAAACCTAGGCGTTAATGCCAAAGGGAAATGTTTGAAAAACGACATTTCCCATTCCAGCTTACCGGTGTAGATAGATTATAGAGAGGCCAGATAGTGCGCAAACATGAGCTACTGAAAAGCAAGGGGATACCGCGCATGCGCGTCCGGAACAATGGTAAAAAATATTGAAGTGGCGAATCCAACAAAATGAATAACAGAAAGAGCGCAAAGCCTTTTAGCCGAATTTGCCCGACGCTCGTTTCGCTTAAAGCTGCCCGCGCTATTGGCGGTTGATTCCGCTGGCAACCCGGTACAGTTAAGCCACTATAACAAGATGGCTGTGCCGACATATTCTGGACACGGTTTTTTACGGAGGTTCCAACAAATAGTGCAAAGTAAATCGCGCAAGTCAGCGCCAGTGGCAAATTAATACCGACAACTACGTTGATTTTGAACTCCGTTCCGGTCTACACAGAGCAGCTTCTGGTTTTGGTAAAGAAAAAGTATCCTTGGTCCACAATAAGTTTTCGAAGAGAGATGCATGGCGATACCGATAAGCCACGGAATGACTAAGTGCACGGCAATCACAGGCCGGCGTGTTATCCATTGACGGTAGCTGAACGGTAACAACGGCGACAAAACGGGTGACCGCCAACATCAGCAAACCGTACCAGGATGCTTGCAAAGTGACTACATAACCAAAGAAAAATGGCCGACAAAACACTGGTAACCGTGATATAATTCGAGTGAATTAACGGAAGGCGAACAACGTTCACCGGCCAGTAAAATGAGGTAATTTACACCTCTACAATCAGCTGATGGATAATCAGGATGCGGGATCCCGTCAGCTTCTCCAGGTTCATAGCCATTATGGTAATCAGCGAAAGGGAAGCGACTAGTAAAAAGCCATTCAGTACTGCAACCGCAGTTCTGCACGATAAAAATGCCGGTGTGATAAAAAGTGTAGAAGAGTTCCCCGATGACGAGGCATTCCCCAGATAATCTTCCAAGCTAGAGTTGTTCATTTTCGCACGCCCAAATTGTTGAGAAACGCTAGATGCGTGATTATGGAATAAAAGAGGCAGCGCACGGTTCATTCCAGTTAGATTATAAGCTGCGCTGCTAAGGGCGGGCGTTATTTTTGTGCTGCATAATTGTCTCTGGCTTGAAGGCCTGCGCGGGGGCAAAGTGAAGTGACATCGGCGAGAGTTCCGATAATTTCGAACTAAAGGTAATCAGAACATTTCGAACTAAAGGTAATCAGAAGACTGCAATCGAGCATTACAGAGGATCAGAGCACGTTAGATCAGTATGGAGGATGAATTCCGATCCTCCAAAGAAAGAAGGCGCCCGAGAGCCTTCGCACAGAAATTCCAGATATGAAACGGGTTGGACAATAATCATTTGGACGAATTGCTGAGAAAGATAGGTAACCCACCCACACAGTCTACGTCCTAAATGTTAAGACGCTTACACAGCGCAGCGCAGTTCTGCGGAGAGGCACGCAGATTTGTGTACATAACGTGAAATCCATTTTCGCGCGCAACATCCGGTTGCGAAGTTCTGAGGGTAACAAAATTCCAAAAAGTTTAAATGCATTCAGGTGTACCAAAAGTCTCGTTATGGACCGATCCCTTTCAAATTTAGCACGTAAATGCACATAACCATGAAGATCGTTCTTAGATGGATCAAGACTTTTATGATTTTTTTCGAATTTTAAAATGTTTGAAATTCCTTTTAAAATTTGAAAAACATGCTAAAACAGTGGATCGGTGTCTGGAATGAATTGGGAGTGACAATTCATTCCAGGCTCTAGAAAACTGTTCTTTTAAAGAAGCCGGAATTAACAACACAAATTACATCACACAGACGTGGGTGTTAGCCAGAGATGCAGGTGGCTAGGGGATAATGTCGAACAGTCAAACAAAATTCTGCTAAAAGGAAATCGTGTTTAGTCGAAATGCCAAATGATATTGTCACGTGTGTTCTCAAAGCAGGAGTGTTTATGGTGTTATTTTTCGGTTATTGGTTACGCGGTTATGACCGGAATGTGTGTCGATTGGTACCCGTTACGCTATGGTATGGGAAAAACCGGCCATAATGACACATATTTTTAATTTTAGCGCTGCCAAACAAATTAATACGCGTGCCGTAATGGACGTGAATTCGTATCCAATTTGTAAGCGATCCACTGCACTTTTGAAAGAAATGAAATTTCTCTATTTACTGGTTAATATGCAGGAATTGTTTGGCCCGACAGTAACCGGTGTCTGTTTCTGCGCACGACTGTCATAAGTTTGACGAACTTTGACCAATCTTGTGGACCATATATTTTCAAGGTTAGGTTGGACCGGCCATCGCCACCTATGAAACCGAGGCCGAAAAAATTCAAAAGTACACATCACGTACACGGCGGAAATAAACGCGACACTAACCAAAAACAGCACAATTTACGGTAAACTCATTGTCCAGCTTTTCGGGCTTCGCCGTTGGTGAGGGCGATAACAACCTGAAAAACAGTAATAACGAAATACCAAAACGTTCAGATTCCGTTGAAAATTTCGCCTTACCGGTATCGATACGTAGCTCAGATAATACGCGAACACAGTCCAAAGCCAGGCAGTTGGATACTGTGCGGCGCGTCCGGAACAATATTTACAAATATTGGTGAAGCTGCGAATGCAACGAAATGAATAGCAGAGAGGGCACACAGCCCTATAGCCAAATTAATTCTACGCTCGTTTCGCCTAATGCGCCCCGCGCTAGTACCGGTGGATCCCATTTACACCGACCGTACAGCCATGGCACTATCGCTAGACGACTGTATCGACACATTCTGGACTCGGTTTTTTACGGAGGCTCCAA